CTCTGCAACTCTATTTCAATGATCTTTTGCATAATTGATTACATTCAGTTTGAATTTTGCACAGTAAGACAATCGCTTACCAGTATATATCTTTTGACATCTTTATGGGCTCAGAACGCCCCAGTCCCTGTTTCATCTGCACACTCTCCACATCCACCTCCAATTATGGCATCAGCTGACATCAGTAACAATAATGCTCGTGATTGGAGGAAGCCTGTTTGGCAAGATATGGGCAGCTGCACACCCTCGTGGCTCCCTCCTCGGCTGACTTCCATGTCTAAGACACCCCTCAATTTTCATTCTAACAATTTTAGAAAAAAATAGCGTCTTATACATGGAAAAATATGGTATATTTCTGTTTATTGTTGTAACTGAACAAACAAAAGAAAATTCCATAAGAAAGCACAGGGAATGGAGATAGGAGAGACATTTGATTTTAGAGCAGCAGTGTTAAAGCTGTATGAGACATTTAAGCTATATGAGACATTTAAGTTAATTTTAAATGCAGTGAAAATGAAATATTTGCTGACCCTCCCTATAGGGATCCTCCTTACAAAGCCCCTGTCTTTGAGAACAGCAGTCTTGACCATGAGACTTGCTTTTGCCAATGAAATGAGAGTAGAAGTGAGTATTAGGCAATTTCCCATTATTGCTTTCTTTGCCACAATATAAACAATATCAGATGTATTTAACCAGACACTGGTGATACCTTGTCAGAAACAGTGAGGAGAAAATTTGCTGTTATTGGTGATGTGTAGCCAGTGGTTTTAAAACATTTTTAGTAATGTAACAAAATCTTAAAAGGAACCCTCAACACAGACCAGCATGTGCTTATTAGTCTAAAGTTATTTTATGTAGTAAAATTAGTAACATTTAATTTGTATAAAACCAATTTCTATAATGGTGAGGCTTTGCTGATGAAATTAAAAATTAAGAATTGGGAATATTTACTGATCAATTGTTACCAAGTTGACACTCTTTGCCAGTACTGTTCTTGACATTGGAAATAGGACATGGTTAAGTTTCTTGGTCTCCTGGAAGAACTTGAATAGAGGAGACAGACAATCAACAACTAAACCAATAAATAAGATAATTTTAAATAGTAATAAATGCTATGAAGAACAAATAATGCAATATGATAGAGAGTAGGTGACTGTGTAGACACAGTAAAGTGAGTGGTTTGGGATGACCTCTTAGGAGCTAATATGTCACTGAAACCTGAGTGACAAGGAGGATTCTGAGCATGAACGTTCCACGCAGAGGAAAAGACAGTACAAAGGCCAGGGTGGAAATGAACACATATTTGCCCTAGCTGGTTTGGCTCAGTGAATAGAGTGTTACCCTGCAGACTGAAAGGTCCTGGGTTTGATTCCAGTCAAGGGCACATGCCCTGGTTTCAGGCTCAATCCCCAGTGTGGGGCATGCAGGAGGCAGCTGATCAATTATTCTCACTGATCATTGATGTTTCTATTTCTCCCTCTCCCTTCTCTCTTAAATCAATTTTATAAAAAGAAATGAACACATGTTTGAGTAACAGAGTGGTTACTGTGCTCTACTACTGCAGAATAAGAGGGAGAGCAAGGTGGGTGAGGGACAGATCATGGAGGATCTTATACACCAGTTATCAAACTACATATGGTAAAGAGCTTTAAAAATTTTAAAAAAAAATCAGCCACAGACCAGCATGTGATCCAACATGGTTAGTTTGCAGCATGTGCTACAAGATCAACACCATACAAGTTTGACACCCCCCAACGTTAACTGTACCCTGTCTTCAATGAGATGAGTCCACAGATCATGTGTTTGACATTGTGGCAATGTCAAATTGCTATGACAGTTTCTAAATGCTGACTTTTAATTTCTGTCCTTATTGTATACTAGAGGCCCAGTGTACAAAATTCATGCACTCAGGGGGTGGGAAAGGGCATCCCTCAGCCTGGCTTGTGCCCTCTCGCAGTCCAGGAGCCCTTGGGGGATGTCCAACTGATGGCTTAGGCCCATACTTAGTCAGACATCCTTAGTGCTGCTGCAGAGAGGCTCCTGCCACTGCTGCTGCACTCACCAGCCGTGAGCCCAGCTTCTGGCTGAGTGGTGCTCCCCCTGTGGGAGCTCATTAGCCACCAGGGGGCAGCTCTTGCATTGAGCGTCTGCCCCCTGGTAGTCAGTGTGTGTCATAGTGACCGGTTGTTCTTCTGACAGGCTGAAACTGGCTCTCTGACATCCCCTGAGGGTCCCAGATTGCGAGAAGGTGCAGGCCAGGCCGAGGGACCCCACCGGTGCATGATTGGGGCCAGGGAGGGATGTGGGAGGTTGGCCAGCCAGGGAGGGACTGTGGGAGGGCTCCAGGGTGTATCTGGCACATCTTGCTCAGTCCTGATAGGCTGGAACCCAGCAGCAGGATAACCTACTGGTTGGAGCGTCTGCACCCTGGTGGTCAGTGCATGTCATAGCGACTGGTCGCGACCAGTTGACTGTCTCCACCCCCCCCCTCCCCCCGTGGTCAGTGCATGTCATAGTGAGCAGTTGAGCAGCCTTAGCATATCATTAGCATATTATGCTTTGATTGGTTGAAGAGCCAACTGGATGACCAGACACTTAGCATATTAAGCTTTTATTATATAAGATACCTTGATGCAGACCAGGAACACATGTCTGTGGATCTGTAAACCACATTTTGAGTAGTGCATGGAAAGGACCTTAGGTTTTACTCCAAGTGCAAGGGGAAGCACATATAGGCAAGGTGAAAAAGAGAAAAATCAAGGACCAATTACAGGCCTGTGGGGGCATTCTTTACCAAGGTGGAGAAGACTTACGAGAAACAAATCTGGGAAGAGAAAGCAAAAGTTCTGCTTTGAACATGTTAAGTGAGGAGTGTCTAGATCTCCAAGTGAGAGGTCAAGGAGTAAGTTAGGTATATGAATCTGGAGCTCACAGCTGAGATCAGGGCCAGAGATATAATATGGGGAGTCATGATAGCCTGCATTTAAAGCCACAGACCAGGGGAGTTATTTAGCAAGTGCTGTTATGAAAGAAATGAGATCACATGACCTAGATCTGGGGGGATTCTGACATAAGACTCATTGACTCCATCAATGTCAATAATCACAAACTTTGAATCTAATATTTATGGAACCAGGGCATCACAAAACATGAGTTAAATCCTGAAGTGGGACAAGGTTGGCATAAAGAGGGTCGATAAATACACATGGGATGAATGAGCCCCAAAATACCCTTCTAAATCTGAGATACTGAAATTCAAGTATTGTTCAAGCTTCATCTCCATGACATAGTGTGTTGAATAGGGCCTCCAAAAAGCCATTATATGCCTCAGAAACTGTGAATGGGAACTTAAATGATAAAGAGTCTTTGTGGATGGATCTTCCTGGATGATCCAGCTGGTTCCTACAGCCACTGACAAGTATTTTTATAAGAGACACTGAGAGGAGAGACACAGACAGAAGAGAGGAGGCCATGTGGCCATGATAGAGATTGGAGTGATGCTGAGGAATGGTGGCAGCCCCCAGAAGCCACGTTAGGCAAGAAGGATGCCCCTCCAGAACTTTAGAGAGAGCGCAGTCCCACAGACACATCGGTTTTGAATTTCTGTTCCTCAGAACTGTGAGAGAATACATTTCAGTTATTTTAAGCCACCCAGACTATGGTAGCTTGTTAAGGCAGCCTAGGAACATAATGTACGTGGAATCTTTTAGCTGACTATTTCCACATTTCCACTGGAGCTGTGTCTTATTCTGACCCAGTGATTCTTGGCCTAGAGCAGTGATTGGCAAACTGCAGCTGGCGAACCACATGCGGCTCTTTGGGCCCTTGAGTGTGGCTCTTCCACAAAATACCATGTGTGGGCGCGCACATACAGTGCTATTGACACTTCGTGGCCCATGTGTAGAAGTCGGTATTTTGTGGAAGAGCCACACTCAAGGGGCCAAAGAGCTGCATGTGGCTCGTGAGCTGCAGTTTGCCGACCACTGGCCTAGATAACTTATGAAAAAGACTGACGTCTGGGTCACACTCTCAGAGATTCTGCTTCATTGGGCTTGGGGTACAGGCTGGCTTTGGTGGACAGTCAGGGTTGAAAACTGTCATTTAATTAGTGACAACAACTTAATATCATGGGGTGACATAGAAGTACATGGGATGGGAACAGCTATAGAGAATGTTTTAACCTTAGGAAATTGCTCTGGAAATAACATTCTGTATCTTTATGCCCTAATATAAAGTATTCTTAGGAACTGTTTGGACTGTCAGCAATCTGTATGTACCCTTTTGGAACTCAGACAGTCCTGTTTCCACTGTGAAGAAGTGAATGGATGCTCTGATGAATCTGGACAAACCCCCTCCCCCTAAAGCCCCAGAAGCACTAGGGGAGGCATTGCCTTCTAGATCGACAATGCTTAACTTAGCATAAATCAAAGATGTCACTGGCAAACCCTTCCTTACAATTAGATAATGACAATTTTGAATTTCTTGTGGCTGGTACTTCATGTAATTAAGAAAAAATCTGCAGGCTGGATGTGCTGAATAGGAGAATAGTACCTTATTATTTGGAAGGAAGAGGGTCCCTAATTGTGGAATGAAGCAATTCGTTGTATGCCATCCCTAAATAAATGTTTCTTTATTTCTGAAGCTGTGTGACCTCCTGTAGCAGTCTTCCTAGCACGTCAGGGAGCAGTCAGGAGTGAATGTAGTTAGCAACGCACGCTTGTCTGTAAAGGGCCTTTGACAACGAGCTCACTGCATCTATTGACTCCCTGGGAAGTCTGAGGTCACAAGCTTGGCTGGAGCACATGAGCCCAGATAATGAAGATGGTTTTACCCTTTTGAAACAGAGCCAGAAACTTTATCTACTTCATTGTGCACTTTGGGTCATGTGCTAACCATGAGGCTTTCTCTAACACTAATCCCCCTAATGATGGCTTCTCCCAGCCCTTACACAAACCCCACGAGGCCGGGTGGCTGGCAATCCAGACAGAATAAAGGCAGCCCGGTGTTTGGCTTTTGAACTGAGTTCAAGGCAATTAAAGTCATGGGCTAAGGAGTAAAGGAGGGGGGTTAAAAATACCAGCATAATAAGTAGTATGACTGGAGTGCTCTGCAAATTAACTCAATTAGACAAAGCCTGATTTAACGGGGAAGATGGTGAGAAGCGCTACCCTCATTAAATCTGGCTGTTAGAGGCACTTCTATAAAATTAAATTTGTTTGAGTTGTTTGGATCACATAAAACAGTCTGTGCGTGTGCATGTACACACGTGCACATGCGTGGGTTCTGTGATTTTGTGGGTATTTTTTAAAGAGGAGAGGAACAGACCGCAAAACAAAAATATACAAAAACAAAACAAAACAGCAAAAACAAACAAAAATAAAAAAAACGGAGTGAATGCTCAAGAGCTCGAGTGGAAGACAAGAAGAAAGCAGTGTAGGCGGAGAGAGAAAGTTCCCCGATTGTAAAGCCATGCGCTCTCTTTGGTGGGGGCTTCTGCTCAGTTGGCTGGGCTGTGGGATGCTGCCCGGAGCCCGGGCCCAGTTCCCCCGGGTCTGCATGACGGTGGCCAGCCTGGTGGCCAAGGAGTGCTGCCCGCCGCTAGGTGTGGAGCCGGCCAACGTCTGCGGCTCTCAAGAGGGCCGGGGCCAGTGCACGGAGGTGCAAGCCGACACCAGGCCCTGGAGTGGTCCTTATGTCCTGAGAAACCAGGATGACCGAGAACGGTGGCCACGGAAGTTCTTCAACCGGACCTGCAACTGCACAGGTGAGGTAGACCCCCGGGGGGGGGGGGAGACCTGGCCTGCCCCTAACTGAGTGGGGAGGGCCCAGTTGGGAAAGGAGCCCCAGCGAAGAGATGGCTAGGCCAGGCTCTGCAAGGCAATCCAAGTTTGTTTCTCGTAGGGAGCAAATTGAGGAAGGCTAATGTCTTGCTTAGATTCTTCACGCCCTCTAGTACATGTAGTTATGGAATCTACGTAAATATGACATGAGCCAAGCCTGGCTATATGAACTCATGCCAACATACCATTGGCTTGTCTGTTGGAAGCTACAGGGCTCAGGAGTCAGCTTTGAAAGCCAGAGCAAGTCCTTTCACGATGGAGTCAATGCCCTCTCCCGAAATGGGTTTGCGCTTGTTGAAGAGAGGGGCGGGTGAGGTTGGCATCTGGAAGACGGGCGTGGAAGGCAGGTGTTCTGTCGTCTGAGTGTCCGAGTTTTGAATGATTTCGACAGGTCTCACGCAGGGGGACGTTATGCCTGGGTGGGTCGTAACTTTGCCAAAGCTGGGGAGATGTGGCGGGGCCAAGCTGTCTCTGTGATCTGGGGAGGGAGGATTGTTATCAGAGAGCAATGGCTTTTCTCTCTCTTTTCTGGGTTCGATGTGGGTATTTCACAGTTGCGCAGTGTCCCTCTTTTCGGCCTTGGTCTCTCTTATGATCTGTTTCTTTGAAATCCCTATGCACTTCTTATGCCTCTGGCTCTTCTGAGCCTTCTCAGGTCCGCCTCACTGGGCTCCCTCCATGCCCAGCAGCTGTGACAGCTGTCGCAAACTCTCAAAGGCGGGCAGGGCATTTGAAACACAGAAAACATAAGCGGCAACTTTAGCAAAGCCCTTCGACCCTGTCCTGCATGTCCAGCTGCATAAGGGGTTTTCTTTTTTAAATTATGTTGTATTATATTTTTATATGATACCAAAACCCTGGAAAATACAGATAATTGAACTATGTAAGGTTGTAAAAAGTAAACTAAGATAATGTACAAAAGATTGTGATACTAAAGTAGGAGTGATGTTGGTATTTTTAAACTTTAAAAATAATTCTGGCTTTAAAATCATTTTGTAGTCATATTGTTAATTCTATGACTCAAAGAAATTATTAATTTTGCCTTGAGTATTAATTGTGACCCAGAGTTTTTAATAGCATATTGAATATTACTGTTCATTTTTCTAAACCAATTGAGCATTTGCTTCTATAGACATTATCTTGTAGATTCTCATGGCTTTGCAGTCTAATGAGAAACAGCAGGTTTCATATTACTTGGGTGATTGGAAACCACACCACACAGTAATTTCTTTGTATGGACTGAATCAAAATTTCTTCCAGAACACTTATTTCCGGATCAATCAATGTTAGAGTACCGCAAGTACACAGGTTGGAAATCTCTGAGACAGAAGGTATTAAGAAATCAGATATAAATGTCCATTCTTCTTATCACCATCTACTTTATCTTTTTGACCTGTGTTACAAGTTTTTTTTAAAAAAGATGGGGATGGGAAGAACAGAGAGCAGCAGAATAGAAGGGATAATTGTAATTTCTCTTTCCTGGGGGAATGCTTATAAATATTTCTCTAGAAGTGACAGAAACTTGGGGTCACGGTGGCCTACATTCAAAACATAAAAGGGATCCCCTGCTCTGAGGAGGATAAACATACCTACGAGGCAGAGGGCCAGGAACGGGGCCTGTCCTGTAAGTCCAGACTATCAGGACCTCTCATGTCCATAAGTCAGTCAAAGGAAGCAGGGCTTCCTCAAGGTGTGTGGTGTATGGTCTCCAACTCCAGCCATTGTCATGACCACGACTGCTTCTGAGACCGACTACCAGGTTATGGCTTACCCCCTCTTCCATGAGCTGATTTATCCAGACTCATACAGGACCATAGTTCTTTCCATCCTCACTTTGGATGGCTCCACTTACATTTGGGAGATTGTCTTTTTCTTTGGGTTTCAGGGCACCAGACTAAGTCCTTAGTGACTGAGCTGGAAAGTTATTTAGTAGGTACAGTAATCACTGTGATGTGTCATATGTCCCAAAGCAAGACACATGTCTTTCAGTGTATTCTCCCTAAAGAGTGAGTTGCTTGCCTTCCTAGGGTAGCTTTTTCATGGTTTAGGAGCCAGTCTTTACGATTTAAAACTAATCTTGAGTGCTCCAAAGCCCTCTTCTCTGCTAGCCTCATAATTACTTTGCAAATAGGACCTTTGGAATTCACTGGGGTCACCCAAAATTTAAAGAAGTATAGCCTTAGCCAGTTTGGCTCAGTGGATAGAGCATTGGCCTGTGGACTGAAGGATCCCAGGTTCAATTCCAGTTAAGGGCACATACCTTGGGTGTCCATCCGGGACCCTGGTTGGGTGCGTGCAGGAGGCAACCAATTGATGTGTTTCTCTCACATCGTTATTTCTCTGTCTTTCCCTTTCTCTTCCACTCTCTCTAAAGATCAATGGAAAAATATCCTCAGGTGAGGATTAAAAAAAAAAAAAAGAAGTATAGATTAGCTCTGGCAAATAGGCTACTGATGACCTTGAACTTTGTTAAATCAGTGGAAAAATAAGCACACCATTCATCTATTGCTGGACATTTAGGTTGTTTCCACATCTTAGCTATTGGGAATAGTGCTGCAATGAATGTGGGGACACTAATATTTCTTCGAGACCTCAATTTCAATTCCTTTGGATAAATACCCCAAAGTGGGATTGCTGGATCATATAATAGTTCTATTTTTAAGTTTTGAAGAACATTCATACTGTTATCCATAAGCAGTTGCCCCATTTTGCATTCCCACCAATAGTGCACAAGGTTTCCAATTTCTCCACAACCTAGCCAAGCAGTATATATGTGCAATTGAATACTATTCAGCCAAAAAAGGAAGAAAATTCTGTAATATGTAACACATGAATAAACCTGGAGGATATTTTGCTAAAGAAATAAATCAGTCACAGAAAGACAAAAACTGCATGATTCCACTTATATGAGTTATCTAAATTAATCAGATTGAGCAAAATAACTGACAGTTCTATAGCTTTGTACCTACAATAATGTATTACACACTTAAAAATGTAAGTGTTCTTACCACACAAAAAATAAAAATGAAAATAAAAATTAACACCATAGTTTCTATGATCTTGAAGTTGGTAAAATATTTTAGCCTATTTAATTAAAATAAATGCAAACTCCGGGGGGTGGGGGGTACTCTAAATTATGTGCTCAAATTCTCTAGAGAGAATTTATCATTTCTCTATTCTCTGTGGGGATAAATTGAAAACAAAAGTTATTGAACGTAATTGTCAGGAAGAGCTGAATTTCAGGAGATTTAGCCATTCACTTTATAAGTCATACCTGCCACATGGCTTTTCTGAGACTAACCAGTTGCAGCTGTGTCTTTAGACTTTTGAAAAACATGCACACCAAATAGTTTTTGAATAGTTGTCTGAGAACTTCTTGTTTGTACAAGTGACTAAGTGCCTCCATTTTCCAATCTCTGGAATGGGGATAATGATGAAACCACACCTGTAAAATCCTTTTGAGCTCTGTAGATGAAAGGCCCTATGTGAGTATAAAGTATTGTTATTAAAATAATAGAATCTCTAATTAAAAGGAATAGCTATTTAGAGCTCCTTATAAATCCACTAATCGGTGGTCTTTAAGCTTATTTAGTCTAATAGCTTTCTGAGGTTGAGCTGATGTAGTTCGTGTAGGAACGTGCATTGTTTGGTTGCCCTTAGTCTCTTCCCATTTTTATCCCAGTCCTAAGTGGATATTGGACTTTGTCTTTTTAATTTTATTTTTTTGCTGAAGGACATACTCAGTGCTAGATAGATTGGTATCTAGAGATTCTTTATTTTTTCTTTCTATTCATTTCTAAAAGGGCCCTCTATTTTTTTGCTGTTGCTATGGTGGATTAAGGGGAAAAAAAAACCATGTTGAATTGATGTAAGGAACTACTAGGAAGTCTAAATTAAAGATATAAACATTTGGGCTCTAGGGTTTTAAATTTTTGCACTTTTCAGTTGTCATCAGCAATTTAACTGATTTTTGAGATCAGGTTTAGAAGCTAAAAAAATGAGAAGGATCTGCAGAGCTTTGGAATATTTTCTCTGAGACATGGTATAACATGAATTTTTAATTTTTTAATTTTTCAATAATAGTTGATGTACAATATTTTTTTTTGTTCATCCTCACCTGAGGATATTTTTCCATTGATTTTTAGAGAGAGTGGAAGGGAGGGTAAGAGACAGAGAGAAACATTGATGTGAGAGAGACACATCGATTGGTTGCCTAGTTCTCATTCTCTGGGTTGAAAGAGCAGAGACATTTGTGCAAACACAGGGAACCCGCAGTGATTTGCACTTCCTGACACCAAGGCAGCTAATTCACCTTTATGACCTGCCAGTCTTCATTGATTTTGCATTAACTCTGTCTCCTTTGTGAAATGAACCAACTTTCTTAATGTTAGATTTCACCTGAATTCTTGGAAATCAGCTTATATATGTTGGTTTCACCTTTAGCTTAGTGTATATTCTCTCCTCTAAACCAATGAGCTGTCTTGTGTCAGCCTTTTAGTGTATGCCACAGGATAGCAGGGCTCAGCAGGTGGACATTGAGGCTGCCGCTCAGTCTCAGGTAGGGAGATAGAGAGAATTAGGAAGGGACACCCTGCATGACCCATGAGAGGAAGGAGAGTATAGATGACAACATGCGCTTAGATTGCTAGTGCTATCATAAAGCACCACAGACTAGCTGACAGAAATTCATTTTCTCACAGTTCTGGAGGCCTAACGTCCAAGATCAAGATGTTGGTAGGTTTGGCTGTCTTCTACCTGTGTCATCACTATCTGTGCAACCATCTGTGCTTAACTTTCCTCTTCTTATAAGGACACCAGTCATAGCAGATTAAGGGGCCACCCAAATGACCTCCTTTTAACTTAATTATCTTTTCAAAGACCCTGTCTGCAAATACAGTCATATCGTGAGGTCTTAGGGGTTAGGACTTTGACATATTAGTTTGAGGGGGAGACACAGTTGAGTCCATAACAGCATGTAATACACTTGATATCCTGTTTCTTTGCAGGAAAAATTTCTAGGGAACACTCTAGTGTCCAGTTCACTTTGAGATACAAACATTTCAAGAGAGTAAGGGAAGGCAATTGGCTTTCTTTTCCCCCTTGCAAGCACCGTCATCTTCTCATCCATTCTATCCCAAAGTTCAACTTCAGAAATTTATTCCAAAGGACATAAACTTACTTCTTCCATCTCCCCCCCCCCCCCCTCCCCAATACTCTAGGAAACTTTGCTGGCTTTAACTGTGGAGACTGCAAGTTTGGCTGGACTGGCCCCAACTGCGATCAGAAGAAACCACCAGTTATTCGAAAGAACATTCATTTTTTGACCCCTCAGGAGAGGGAGCAGTTCTTGGGTGCCTTAGACCTCGCGAAGAACACCACACACCCTGACTACGTGATCACCACGCAACACTGGCTGGGCCTGCTTGGGCCCAACGGCACCCAGCCACAGATCGCCAACTGCAGCATTTATGATTTCTTTGTGTGGCTTCATTATTATTCTGTTAGAGATACATTATTAGGTGGGTTTTCCCCTTAGATTAATGCATATTATCATTGGTTTGTGTTTGGGGGTGGGGTAGTTGGATGGAAAGTAATTTCAGACAAGTTAATTAACAAGAGCACAACTAGAAGGAAGGGGTAGGTGTGTGAAAAAGTCAGAGAACTGTCAAATGCGGCCTAAAGTTAGGCTGGAGCAGTTTCTTCCTGCACATCAGCTGCAGACATTTGAAAATGTTCTCTCCTGTAGTTTGTGTTTTGAATTCAAAATCTAACTCTTGTTTACAAGGCTATTAATTTTCAAAGGCAAGAGATGGTGAACTGAAGGTAAATTCCTTTAAAAAGTAGTTTTATTGAATTTAGAGAGAGAGGAAGGGAGAGAGAAACATAGATGTGAGAGAAACATTGACCAGCTGCCTCCTGCACACCCACTACAGATAGAACCCACAACCAGGGCATGTGCCCTGACCAGGACTTGAACTGGCCACCTGTCAGTGCATGGGACGATGCTCAACCAATTGAGCCACACCAGCCAGGGCAAGGCACATTTCTTTTGATTCCAGCAGAAAACATTTTTAAATCAAGCCATGGGAGCCCTCTCTGACCTTTTCTTCAAATTAGAGGAATTAACTAAACACACGCTAAACCACATGACACTTCTTTGGGCAGAATTAGAGTGTGTGTTGGAAGCGTGTCATTACCAGTAAAGTCACATGTATTAGTCTTTAGACTCCCAGGTCATTATCTACGGTGCCCATGCCCTGCTGGGATCCCCAGGGTTTTTCTGGAGTTGTATTGTCAAGAAAAAGCATAGCCACAACAATGTAGTGTTCCTTCTGGCTCAGTGATTGGACTACAGTTACGTTTGATGCTTGAGAAAATGGTGCCTTGCCCTTCTGGATCCTAAAAATTGGGGCTAGGGTAGGACTTGGAATGGGAGGAACTTCATTAATCTAGTACAGCGGTTCTCAACCTGTGGGTTGCGACCCCTTTGGCGATCGAACGGCCCTTTCACAGGGGCCGCCTAAGACCATCCTGCATATCAGATATTTACATGACGATTCATAACAGTAGCAACATTACAGTTATGAAGTAGCAACGAAAATAATTTTATGGTTGGGGGGGGGGTGTCACAACATGAGGAACTGTATTTAAAGGGCCAGAGGGTTGAGAACCACTGCTCTAGTAGGTTCTGCTCCATCCTCAGTCATTTTTGACTCAGGTGAAAGCCATAAACCCTAGTTTGTTCCAGAGCGGCTTGAGTCCATTCCAGGGTCTGCTCAGTGCAGTTCTGAACCTTTGGTTATACCTGCTATTATTCCCACTTTGGGAGACCCTCACTGGGGTGAGGGTTCATGAGGACATGAAGCTCACTTTGAATAGTCTCCTTCTTATTTGTAATTGTCTGTCCCCGTGTTTATCACTGGTTCCCCATCACTTGATTTTCCCTCATCATTTTTTAAAATTTTAACTTAAATTTTTTGAATTAAAACAAAATTTTCCATTACAGTTGACATACAATATTATTCTCCCTCATCATTCTGTTTTGAGAACTTTAAACTTTTTCTGGGTTAAAACATTTAAAAAGGGCTGCACAGCCAACAGCAGCAACTGCAGTCCTTTCCTCCATGTGTCTTTAAAACACTTGCCTCTCAAGTACGCATCTGTCTTTCTCTATCGATAGATAAGGAGGCTCTTCTGGCAATAAACCTTTATAGCTTTCCCGTCCTGACTCTGAGGAATTTTTGTTTTAAGAGAGGCTAGTCTCTCAAGAGTAAAAGAAAAACTATAGTTTCTGGTCGTATCTAGGAATTAAATTTATATTCATGTCTGTTCTGCTCCCTGAAGTTATTATAGGTACTTTGAAAAAGAACTAAAGTTAGCTAAAGTTTCTACATAACCATCAAAAGCTGTTATGAAAGGGGGAAGAAGGATGGAACACGCAGCAGGGAGGTCATTAAATGGCCCACAACTTTTCAGTAAAATTGGCATTTCCAGTGGCCAGCCAAGTTGGTTTGAATGTATTTTTCTCTCTTCTAGTGTTGGCCACACTTGTCAGCCAGTAGTTCTAACTGATTGATGGCTAAGGCAAAATCCGTGAAAGTTCTTTTTGGTTATATAAATGCTGAATTAGACAGTGCATTAGAAGATGCTTTATTCTTAATTAATCCTTCCCTTGTAAATGTATTCATTTGTAAAGAATTGGCTAGAAAATATCTTTTAAAAATATATTTCATTTAGGTCTTAATGATCTATTCCTTTGGAGACTCTGATTTCATTAAATATATAACATGAACTTTTAAAGCTGAAAGTGACCTGAATTTCTCTGGGTCTCCGTTGACATTCAAACTTTTGAGAGTTGAAGAATTCACCCTAAAAGTGCCAGTTGATTCTGAAATGATTTTGTTGTTGCTTTCAGAAAGATAAATGACAAAAACAATTATTTTGGACTAAAACACCATGGATTTATTGGCTTTGCAGACACATCCTAGGTAAGGTTTAACTTTTTAAAAACTCTGTTCTGTGGTGTCTAATTAGTGTCCCAATTGTTTTAGGACCAGGACGCCCCTACAAGGCCATTGATTTCTCACACCAAGGACCCGCCTTTGTCACCTGGCATCGGTACCATTTGTTGTGGCTGGAAAGAGATCTCCAGGTTGGTGAAAACCATACTTTTGGTTCCTTACATTTTGTTATACATTTGGTGAAGACCCATAACATTCTTTGCATTATATGCTTTCCTGTTCTATCTGATGGCTGGATTAAGTGACTAGGCATGTCCTTTGCTTTTAGCGACTTATTGGCAATGAGTCCTTTGCCTTGCCCTACTGGAACTTTGCCACTGGGAGGAATGAGTGTGACGTGTGTACAGACCAACTGCTTGGGGCAGCAAGACAAGATGATCCGACTCTGATTAGTCAGAACTCAAGATTCTCCAGCTGGGAAATTGTCTGTGATAGGTAATCACACCTGACACTGGGTTTTCTTATGTCTGAGAGATGGCGAGTCACTTTATATTTCTGTCTCTAGTGCATGTTGGGTTCTGTTTACATGTTTCTGCAAATGACTTTCCTGGGGGAGGTAGGATTTTTTAAAATTCTAAACTCTTTAATAAAAAATAAAGGCATGGCCCTGGCGGTGAGGCTTAGTTGGTTGGAGTATAGTCCCATGCACTGAAAAGTCACATACCCAGGTTGTGGGTTTGATACCCGGTAGGTCTCTCCCTCTCTCCACCCCCTCCATTCCTTCCTCTTTAAAATCAATAAGAAAACATATTCTTGGATGAGGATTTTAAAAAAAGTTATGAAAGTCACATTTGTGAGTAGAATGTGCTTGGCCATCATTTTGAGATCAACTATTTTAGCACCAGTCATATTCTAAGCACTGTAATAATGCTGGGGATATAAGAGTGAATAAAATATAGCTTTTTAAAGATATTGTTTTATATTTACAAAGGTGGAATGCTTGTAAATAAATTACAATACAAGGTGGGAAGTATCATAATAGATGTATGTGCAAAGCCAAGGAGAGGAGTGGGGAAAGACTCTAAGAGATAGAGATGATTATTCTGAGACTTTAAGGAGGCACAGACCTCAACCAAGTAGAGGAGGGTGGTAAGTGTGTCCTAGGTGGAGGGAATATCATATATGAAGCCAGAAAGTCTTTGGAAGCAGTGTGGTGTGGCTAGACCACAGGGTGCTGGGAGTTGAGAGGGATTGGGGAGGACGGGCTGTAAGTACTAAAGAACACAGAAGAAGGTAAGCAGCCTGCAGCCCAGGGAGAAGTCTGTCCTCGGTGAGTCCTTGAATTTGTTTCTCTTTCCTGGCACAGATCTCAGAAAAAAATTTCCCAAGAGGATTTCTTTATTCATTTGCTTCTTACAAAATCCTGTTTTTAACCCTGCTGAGCTAGCTCCCCTGTCCAGGGCACAAAGCTTCAATGTCAACACCCCTGACCCGGGGCATGTGCGTACTTTCAGGGGTGGAAGCCTAGCTTGCAGGATCCCATTGCTCTTTCCTAAGCTTTTGCTACAGCCCTATGAACAGTGCTCCACACCACAGGGGGATGTTAACAGGTGCTTTTTACGTGACTTAGCATAATTTCATAAAGCACCATTTCTTTTAATGCCTTGAGGTATTAATAGGTGGTATGTGACAGAGTTTTCTATAAATTTAGGGAATGCTGACTAAAAAAGGTTTTTTTAGTTTCAGAATGTCTCAGGGCTTTTCTTCTATAAGCAAATTATTACTCTTCAAGAGGGGCCTACACTTATGTGACCCTGGCACCCTTATTTCACAGACCATCTCAGTGGAACACACTTGGAAATGCTGCCTTGGAGGCCTGCTTGGTATTCCCCCTGCCTAGTGTTAGGGACTGGCCTCTCTCATCCTCCTGTGCGCTGATTCTATTCCCACATCCCTAGTACCATGCATTAAAACCCACACAGAAACAGCTCTAAATTGTTGTTTCTCTCAGTGGGATGGCATTCTGATGGTGGAATGTCAGACCACAACAGGCCTGGGGAATATAATCTTTTGGGGGCATGGGACTTCCTCAGCCTCCATGTTCATGACATGACCATCCCCACTGCCCTAGAGCATTTGCTAATGCAGCGCTTGCCCCAATACCTCCTCTCGGTATTGTTTTAGCTGTTTTCACTCTGACCACCTCCATTTGCCTTCAGTTTGCCTAAATGCTTTCCTAGCTTTCCTAGTACATAGGCCCTTCTGCCCCAACTGGCTTAGCTTGTATAGTACTGGTCACCCTCTTCTCTCTTTAGTCACTCAAGATTCAAATGCACATAATAGGAATCAACATCTTTACAGTCTCTCCAGTGGAATAGTAAATATCATGATTATGCATATCTATTCACATATTATAGTTTTGCATCTATGTTTTTGAAAGTCTTTAATACATAATTACTTTTGGAGGTAGTACTTTTACCACATATCTTTGACCCTTTAAGGCAGGGGTCCTCAAACTACGGCCTGCGGGCCACATGCAAATACAAATATTGTATTTGTTCCCGTTTTGTTTTTTTTACTTCAAAATAAGATATGTGCAGTGTGCATAGGAATTTGTTCATAGTTTTTTTTTAAACTGTAGTCTGGCCCTCCAACGGTCTGAGGGACAGTGAACTGGCCCCCTGTTTAAAAAGTTTGAGGACCCCTGCTTTAAGGTAACTGTAATACATTTTATTGTATGCTTGGACCAAAGTTATGATACTATCGACACATTAAGACATATTCTTTGCAATCCCCGTACAAATCTTAGCTTAGATGACTACAACCGCCGGGTCACTCTGTGTAATGGAACCTATGAAGGTTTGTTGAGAAGAAATCAAGCGGGGAGAAACGGTGAGAAATTGCCATCCTTAAAAGACATAGAAGATTGTCTGTCTCTCAAGCAGTTTGACAATCCTCCTTTCTTCCAGAACTCTACCTTCAGCTTCAGGTATGTGCTCTGAGCTGTGTAAGACGGGCACTTGACAACACTTAGGTTTTCATGCTCGTGGTTGAAATGAATTGAAAGGAAATTCAGGTGTTAGGAGACAAAACTAAGTAATGAAGGGGCTTGATAAGAGGGGATAACCAGGAATTAGTGCTAGAAAAGTCATCATCCACCCACTATAATTAATAGTGCAGTTTTAATAATTTAGCTATTTAGAACCATTTTTAAATATTTCTAATTTCTGTACACATATAGGTATAGTCTTCAGAACCAGGGAACCTCATCAACTATAGTATTTTTAAAATATTGCCAAAATAATTTTGCTCATGATCTTTCTTATACTTTTCTGTCTTTTTTTTTTTTTTTAAATCTGCCTGCCATAGACCTTAAAATGGGGGTCTGATATCTCAGAGGGGAAGTACAGGCTCCATGCAACTCAAATTATAACACAGCAATAACATTACTATGCTTGAAATTTAAAGGTCAGCTAATAATTCTCTCCCTCTAAATAAACTTTAAGAATTATGAGAAATATGTATGTATGTATGCATATAAGTAATATTTTAAACAAAGATAAATGAGACTCCAAAAAGAAATGGTGGATAGATTCATATTCTTCTCCAAAACTTGGTTTTCTCTCTTTTCTGTGTATAAATTATATAACTGATGGGTTACTTGGGGCCAGGGTGTGGGTAGACTGAACTTAAATGCAGAGGTTGTGCTAAGTGTAACAGGTCTCAGGGTCTGTGATGGGCTGGCACAGTCCTCAGGGTAGTGTCAAAGGTGACATAAAGGTCAACTTTTAAGATTATCTTGAAAAGAAACATGCATTAGTTTTCCATTGTGATAAAAATGCTTTTTGACACAGATTGCATTCCATATAGATTTAAGGGAATGGTTCTCAAAGTGTGGTGCCCAGACAACCATAATGGGCGTCACCTTGGAACTGGCTGGAAATATAAATGGTAGGACCCCGCCTGAACCTACTGAATCAGAAACTCTGGAAGTGGGGTATGAAATAAGTGTTTTTCTCCAGTGATGCTGTTATATGCTTAAATTTGAGGATCACTGAGTTAGGGTATGGACACTGAAAATGGAAAGGTTAAAAAAAAAGAAAGGGAAATTTGGGGATATGTTTAGAACACTGAATATATATTACAGTCAAGCTGCAGGTCTATTTAGTTAAGAAATAGGAATATAAGAGTATATGTTGATTTAAAAACATTTACTGATCACAGACCATGTGCTGGGTGTGGTACTAAGTCCTGTTAATAAAACTCAAAAGAAAACTGCTCTCTAGGAGTTCATTTCCTGGCCTGGGAGACAGATGTGAAGGTAAAAATTGTCATACAGACACTAAAGAGATACAACCCAATTGAGCAGGTGCAGAACCAGCGCTGAATAAGAGTTCCCTCCCCTTAGAGGAGATCATCATGAACGGTTTGGGCTACTTCTTAGTTAATGAGCCATGGCAGAGCTCCCCATTTCCCTACCCAATCTCAAATTAGAAGATGATTCAGCAGGCTGGGGCAAATGAAAAGCCTTTATCAATTCGTGAGTGTTGTTGCTGACATACCAATTCCTCTCAGGAATGCCCTGGAGGGGTTTGATAAAGCAGATGGAACCCTGGACTCCCAAGTGATGAGCCTTCATAATTTGGTTCATTCCTTCCTGAACGGGACAAATGCTTTGCCACATTCTGCAGCCAATGATCCCATATTTGTGGTAAGTTCAAAGCCTCAGCATAGATGAAAGATTTTCTACATTATATGTTGACTTTATTTGCTTTTCAATAAGATTGAAGTTTGGTATGTATTTTATTCTCTGTGTAAACAATGGGATGTATGCCTATGTAAATTAATTTTAATCTGCACCATTGGTGTGGCTAGAGAGCATTTGAAGTCCCCTTATCAGAAACTTGTGCTTTGGAGATGGTAAGCTTTGGAATGATCCTAGATAGGAGGTTACCGTCCAGAAGTCGATTCAGAAATTAGCCTAATGATATTAAATATTATGTCATAATTTAGCATAATTTATACCATAAGTCAGCATAACGAGAAATGATTTCTAATTGGTGAACTTAGTGGCATTGAAGAGAAGTGGTGGGCTGCAAGGACTTTGCAGACACCATGACCCTTGCAGGAAGTCCAGCAATCTGGCACCTTTGAAGCAGCACACACGGTCCAAAGCTCTAATTGGTGTTGGGTTCTGGTCACCTCACTTCACAAAGCATTCTGATTGAGCTTGGCTGCTCCAGCTGTCAGATATCATTGTGTCCACTTCAGAGTGAATCTTCCATGCAAGACACTTGCCAGAGGAGAGCATGGATGTCCCTGGGTGTACAAGAACAGGTTCTTTCATTTATTTCTGTGTCTACTTGCTAATAAGCGTTTGTAGGTTTACTAGAATTTGGTCTTATACTTGCTGTCCTTGTTACGCACCACCTAGTAGCAAATCTACTTGAGATGGGGGACATATAGCCACTACCCCCCCCTCTACCCCCCCCCCCCCCCCCAGTTGCAGGAGCTTCTGATATAGTATAAAAGAACCTGTTAGAGCTGAAATGACAAATGGAGCTGGGTCTGTTGCAAACCTGAAGGTGTATTCTTTGGTCCTGTTGTTACTAGATAGAAATTGGGTCTGCATCAGGTCTGACTCTGGCTGGCCTGTAGCTTGTGGGTTCTTGATTTAGTTTAGGAAAGATTTTATAACACGAGTCCAGGTGATTTTGAGAATACGTTAATTAAAGCCGGGGAAAATAAAACAAGAGCTTACAGTAGAAGAAGCAACAGGAAAGCTAGGCAGGGCTGCTTTGGCTCCCTAGAAATTTAATGGGAAAGAGGTGAGGTGAAGTGGGCTGCTTTGACTCACTACAAAGTCAGAGAAAAGTGGGCCTTGGGAACAGGTTCAGGGGGTCAGCCTGGGATGAGCTGCTGCTGCCTATTGCTCTCCTGGTTGCAAGTCTCATGGGGAGCCTTAGAGTTTAGGAGATGAAGACCTGAGGGGCAAGAAAGGTGTGGGTGTGTTCCTGGGAGTAAGAATGTGCCCTGGGTCCTTCGCCTTGAGGGCTTTAAAGGGAGTTTAAGGAAGGTCTTAGGGGAGGATCTCAGCAGAATATTCATCAGCTTTATGCTGATACACCAAAAGGAGATTTATTCCCTTAACTTAATCCATCATTGGTTGTGTTGGAACAAATGGAGTAATCGGATTTCTGTTATCTATCTTCCTGAGTAGGTTGATTTAAGCTATTTGCCCTCTGGTTGGGGAGGAAAAGTGTAAACCATTTACTCTTAAGTGTCCTTGGTAACAAAAGAGAGGGTTTTGTGATTTACTAAATAGCTGTAAACTGCTTGGCCTTTTAACTGTCTGTCTCCCTTTCTCTGTTCCACTTGCCCTGGCTTACTCACCTATCTTGGATAGATGGTTTCAGAGCAATTAAAGAAGAAATTTCCCTCCTTTTTTATTTTGCCAGTATTTTGAGTTTATATTATTATTCAGAGAGAAGGAGTGGACTCCTGGTGTGTCCTCAGAAGAACACTAATCCTATCATCTAAAGGTCTCACCTTTTTGACTTCATTTAACCTTAATTACCGCCCTATGGGCCCCATCTCCAAATATAGTCACATTGGAGATTAAGGCTTCAGCATATGGATTTGGGGGAGGATGGAGTCACAATTCAGTCCATAGCAAAGTGCATCCTGAAACCATCAGTGTATAGCAGTTTATTTTTCTGGACTCCTGGGAGGCCACATGACTAAATCAAAAGCGCACAGGATTACAAATCAAATCAGTTTCACTCAGTCCTGCCTTGGGCAGTGTGGGGGCCTCACTGAACTATGTAGAGCCTCTGTCTGGTGTTGGGTAAAAGTGTTGTGTTCCTTAAAGCAACTCATAATAAATTAGGGTATTATGAAGGCACTATAGAAACTGTCAAGTGCAACATGAATATCTCAAGAATATCAATGTGTTTTATAGTAGTTGGTGGGAAAGAATTAGAAAACTCTGTATTGCATTTGAATTTCCAAACCTCAATTAAGATTCATCTTGTTCTCTTTAGCAGACAGTTGTGCCTTAAGGTGATTTACTGACAAGACAAAGTCAGAGGTATTTCAAAGATGATTATTATTTTTACTCCATCCAGAGTACAAAAAGAAGGAAATTCGAAGAGGGAGGGTAAAGGTATAGCTGCCACGACTCTCAGCTTGCCTGGTGGTGTGAAGGCTGAGGGAGTGTTCTGGACTCCCAGATAGATAAAAGCATGGTAAGAGAGAGCCGTAAGAAATCCCAAGACGGGAGCAATTGCTGGAGCTGTTCCTTCTTTCTAAAAAATGTTTCTCCCACCTGTGTGGTAGCAATAAATGAAGGGTTTGTCACAAATGTGAACTATTGGTCCCAACCATTAATAAGAAGGGGTGAGGGAAAGCTTACCTGTTAGGTCTCCTCAGCCATCTTTGCTCTTCTGGAAGATGTCTGCCTTGTTCTAACTTGGTATTTCACTCCATTATTTTGGCTATCACCTCAGCCATCAGCTTATACCTATGCATTTCTGGTGCTTACCTTCTCTGCTATATAGCTATACTTCTATTTATCTATACTATATATCTCTAAATAAGTTTTTATTAAGACATACATATTCTTTCCTTTAATTTTATTTTTCAATTGCAGCTGACATTAAATATTATTTTATATTAGTTTCAGCTGTACAGTATAGTAGGTAGACAGTCATATATTTTACAAAGTGATCCACCCCTGATATTTGAAGTACTCACCCACCTGGAACCATACATAATTATCACAATATTATTGACTATATTTTCTATGCTGTACCTTATAGCCCCATGATTATCCTGTAACTACCAATTTGTACTTCTTAATCCCTTCACCTTTTTCACCCAGCCCTCCACCCTCTTCCCCTCTGGCAACCATCAGTTTGTTTTCTGTATCTATGAGTTTATTTCTGTTTTGTTTGTTCATGTATTTTGTTCATATAAGCGAAATCATATGGTATTTGTCTTTCTCTGCCTGACTTATTTCACTTAGCACATGACCCACTAAGTCCATCCATGCTGTTGCAATGGTAATATTTCATTCTTTTTTTTTATGGCCTAAAACATACACTTTCAATTGTGTATCATTTGTACACACCACTTATATTCATAAGAAAAAAATGGCACAATACTCCTTATCCAGTACTCCAAAATATGATGAGTAGAAAAGCAGAATCCTCTGACAAATAGAGAATTATGGCCCAAATATTTCTCTCCTACTAAAGGAAATAATGATGATCCTAGCAATTTGATTTTAAGCATCCTAAGTCTCAAGGACTGCTGTGTCTTATTTCCTCCTTTTGAGAAAGCCCAGTGAGTGTACACAGCTTGGCAACATTTTTCTCCGAGTGGCCAGATAACAAGTATTTTAGACTTTGCAGGCTGGACAATCTCTGTTGCAGCTACTCAACTCTGCCATTGTAGCATGAAAGCAGCCATAGACAATGTATGAACAAATGAGAGTAGTGTTCTAATAAAGCTTTATTTATAAAATGGGTGCTAAGCCCTATTTGGCAACAGGCTTTAGTTTGCTAACCCCTGCTCTAAGGATCAATGTCCCTCCTCTACAATAGGGATATCTCTTTAGTCAGATTTCTCTCCCTGTTCTAGTTGGAAGCCCACCTTATGACTTTATGGATGAGGAATTCCATGGCTTACATATAGTTCAAAGATACTAGATGTTTAATCATCATTGTCTTCATTACTTTTAATGCCTTTAATATTTAAATTTTGATTTTCTTTGGGATATGTTATGTGCATAAAAATAAACAAAAAGCCCCAGCCTTTCTTTGAAGGCACTGAAGGAATAATGTTTTAGCACTAGTTCCAGAACTCACAAATAGTGTAGTCTATTTACAAAGAGTTTCATTTTAAAACCAATTTGACCTTAAATGAGTCTTCACATATTGAGAGCCAGGTTAAAGCATTTAAGTGAACAGAGTTATAGCTTCTGGAATTTCAAATTCATGAGGCAATTCATGCAAATATACTGAATGCATTTATTAAAATTATTTTGTGTGAAATCTCTTCAAGCAAGAGAGGTATAAAGTTATATGTAATCACAGTAATGAGTAAAAGAAGGTATAATGATAAAATCAGAAAAAAATCTCTGAACTAAGGTCTAAAATTCTAATAATTTCTAAAATAATTGAAGGAAATGCACATATTTATCATGGAAAATAAGATTAGGTCACAGCTAAATGGTGCTGTCTTCTAATAAATATAGATATAACCTAGGGAAAGAAAAGGAGGAAACCTAATAGACTGTAGAGTTAAATAGTTGAGTCAGCTTCCATAAAAGTAGCTATGTTAGAGACTGGTAATTCTCTACCCAATTTCTAAGGATACTGTTCTTAAAGTGTACATGTGTTATCCTTTAATTAATTAATTTATTTTTAAAATATATTTTTATTGATTTCAGAGAGGAAGGGAGAGGGAGAGATAGATAGAAACATCAATGATGAGCGAGAGAATCATTGATTGGCTGCCTCCTGCACACCCCGCACTGGGGATTGAGCCTGCAACCCAGGCATGTGCCTTTGGCCAGAATCGAAACTGGGACTCTTCAGCCTGCAGGCTGAAGCTCTATCCACTGAGCCAAACCTCTTTGGCTATTATCCTTTTAGAAAGTACACTGGCAAGTTCTAATTCTTTCTATTCCTCAGTGGGTGGGGGATG